CCAACCAGGATGAGACAAAGCTTCATGAACAGTTTTAGGAACATATACAGACTCAAGGGATGCAAGGAACGAACAAGTAGGTGAGGACAAATGGTTATATGAAACAAAAGAAGAAACAGGATGAGTACATTCACGTTTACCTTTTCTAAGAGCAATAGGAAGGTCATCACTTGGTCCTGGATCCACGGACGAAGAAGCTGCTGGTATAGGGCATGAGTCCGTAGGAGGTTGCCGACGAGAATAAACTTGAGTAATGGTGGGAAGAGAAGGAACAAACACAGAGGGAGATGTATTGCTAGGAAGCTCTTCAGTAGAAGTAGAGACAATGAAATAGACAAGAAAGTCATCATCTTCTTGTGAACACTCCTCCTGACTGGTACTCAAATATGATAAAAAAAGAGTATCTTCAAAGAACGTAACGTCGGGAGACAAAATATCTATGGAGATCAGGACAATAACATCGATACCCTGTTTGAACACGAGAATAACCAAGGAAAATGCATTTCAATGACTTGGGGTCCAATTTGGTGAGTTGAGGGCGAACATCACGAACAAAACAAGTGCAACCAAATATTTTAGGTTTAATAGGATAGGAAATAAAGGTTGTATAGGACATAGAGTACGATAAGGTATTTCGCCCTTAAGAACTGATGAAGGCATACGATTAATCAAGAAGCAAGTCGTTGAAACAGCATCGGCCCAAAAGTATTTTGAAACCTTAATGCCCTTGCTGTTTCGAGAAGATGTCTATTTTTCTTTTCTGCAACTCCATTTTGAGATGGAGTATCGACACAAGAGGATTGGTGAAGATTATCGTATTCACTAAAATAGGAGCCAAAAAAGCTCCAGAAAAATATTCTTTAGCATTAGCACTTCGTAGAACTTTAACAGAGCCACCAAATTGAGTTCGAACTTCAGCATGAAAGTTACGAAAATGAGAAAGCAACTCAGAACGATGTTTCATTAAATATAACCAAATTATACGGGAAAAATCATCGACAAAGGTAACAAAATACCGAAACCCACTTTTGGACTCAACAGGACAAGGATCCTAAACATCAGAATGAACTAATTCAAAAAGAGTAGTAGCTCGTTTATTGACTCTAGGATACAAACTAAGACGATGAAACTTAGCAAATTGACATGACTCACAATCTAAAGAATGCAAACTATGAAATTGAGGATGAAGATTCTTTAATGCGGAGAGAGATGGATGACCCAAATGACAATGTTTTTCGAACGGAGATGGTATTCGAGTGCAAATAGTAGCTGTAGGTATTTGTGTATCAAACGTGTAGAGGCCATTGGATTGACGCCCTTTACCAATAGTCTTCTTCGTCGTAAGATCCTGAAATAAGCAATAACCAGGGAAGAATAAGACACAACAATTGAGATCACGAGTGAGTTTACTAACAGAGACCAAATTAAAAGAAAATTGTGGTAAACTTAAGACAGATGTTAATGAAAGAGATTTGGAAAGATGAATTGTGCCAGAGCTATCAGGCAAAGATGCAGATGGGGAGAAATTAGCAAATAAGTTAGGGTTACCTGACATATGATTTGTCGCACCAGAGTCAATGACCCATTTTGATGCGGAGGAAATAAGACATTACTGGTGTTACCTGACTCAGCGATGACAGTAATCGGATTAGAGGACGATGCTGTCAATGACTCTTGATACTATTGGAACTTAGCAAACTCTTCCGCAGGAATTGTAACTAATTTGCCAGCACTATCAGGAGTAAATGCGACATGTGCAGACTGTGTTTTCTGACCTATTCAACAGCTTTCTACATTCTCGCTTTGTTAGACCAGACTTATGAAATAATTGCACATAATGATATCTCTTGAATTTGGTCTTGGAGCACTAGAATTCCAACGTTGAGTGTTCGAAGTCGTGGAATTCCCTTGGTAGGTATTACCTCGGTTTGCATTTGTACTACGTCCAACCAAAGCATTATTAGACTGAGATGACAACGGGTTGTGACTTCTCAACGCGAAGTACTCGAGTGTATGCCCTTAAAAAGCTGGAATTTCTGAACCAGAGAGTAATTGGTCTTTGGCCACATCAAATCTAGGTGGAAGACCAAGAAGAAAACTTATAACTGCTAGTTGTTAGCGTTGGGCAAGTCGAACTTTTGCATCATTACTATTTGGGAGTAATGCATTAAACTCTGCATAAATTCTTTTGTGTTCCATGAAGTAATTTGTAAGCGATTGGTTACCAAACTCAGGTTGGTAGAAACGCTTGCAAATTTCAAATATTCGACCAACATTTCCTTTTCCAGAATAAAGGAACTCTAAGTATTTAAGCAACTCTTTAACACACTCACACTCATTGACCAAGCCAATAATGTCACCCTCGATCGAATTCTTGATCTGTAGAACTAGTCGAGCATCATCCTGCAACCAAGCTTTCTTGCTCTCATCTCTAGGAGGATCTTTAGTTATGTGATCGTCCATATCAATACTCTACAAAAAAAGACGAACATTGACTTTCCATGAAGAATAGTTTGATCCATTCAACTTATGTTCGGTGATTTTCAATATCATTGGGATAACCTCAGATGTGACGATTGATTTCTTTTCAGCCATAACAAACGAACTTATTTGAACAAAACAACAAAAACAGAACAAACCACCAGAACAGAACCAAACAAAATAAATGAACCAAACTGCTTGAACCGGATCTCTTAAACCAAACAGCTGGAACCAGATATCTTGAACCA